AATCACACAGCCTCCGGTCCCTGGAAAAACCTCTCTCCACGGAAACGGTCCCTGGTGCCCAAACGGTTGGGGACCTCTGTTCTAGTCCAACCCCCTGCTCAGGCAGGAAATCCTATACCAGGGGTAGGCAACCTTGGCTCTTTTACGACTCGTGGACTTCAATTCCCAGAATTCCTGAGCCAGCAGGTCTCTGATTGACGGAATAGCTTTCTGGACAGGTTCAGGGCTGAAGGCTTTTCTTTTCCCAAAGCTCTATTTTCAGTATGTTTAAAGGTTATGCTTTGAGATGGTTTTAAAGAGTTTTTCAGGCCACAGTATTACGTTTCTAAAGATTTTTTTTCTCTCTCTGTTTTGGCTAGGTTTCATTTTTTTTTTATCTAACTCAATTTTCAGCTTCTGGAGGCTTAGATTTTTGCAGCGTACGCTTTTAAACTTCATCAACTGCTAAAATTAATAGGCATGATGTAAGTGTTGAAAATTTAAACAACAACAAAAAAAAACCCCCAACCTCCTTAAAATGTCACAAATAATGTCTAAGCTATAAAAAGCTTCAGCTACATACTGGTATAAATAATTGCAAAATTGAATAAATGGTATAATGGCCTCTGGGGTTAGAAAAAACTCTAAAAGAGATCTGTGCATTGTGTGCTTCAGATATTCTTAAATAAAACTGTGATTATTTCCCCCACATTGTCTGGACTGCAGTGGTCTTGAAGTGACATCTCTATTTCTTTCTTTTCCATCCTCTCCCATTTTGCTAAAACTAAGGATAGATGCTGTTTTGACCATCCGCCCTAAAATGGGCGAGTGGAAAAATAGTTTTGTAATGTGCATTTTTCAAACCCAGGAATTAAACGTAAGCAAAAGTGAGCTTATATTTATGTATGTTAAGTTTACCCTCCAATTAAGCCGAGCGAAAGATGCTTCCTGGCAGTTCAAAATAGCTACAGGTTTCTGAAAAATCCAGTGTACAAATGAATCATAGAATCCCAGACGTGGAAGATGCCATAGAAATAAATCCAGTGTTTTTCGAACTTTGTAACATTAAAATTGATGGGTTTCAGCTCCCAGAAACCTCCTTTGCAAAATATGGATCTAGTCCAACCAGCCCAGATAATCTCTTGAATTTTTTTTAGAAAAAAATTACTTTTAGTTATATCAGCAATTGAATAGCAGCTATCAGCATTCTAAGTGATTTCAAACTTGAGTTTGAACAAAGATGATTAGGGGACTGGAGGCTAAAACATATAAGGAATGGTTGCTGGAATTGGGCATGTCTAGTTTAACAACGAGGGGGGACAGGATAGCAGTGTTACAGTATCTCAGGGGCTGCCCCCAAAGAAGAGGTAGTCAAGCTATTCTCCAAAGCGTCTGAAGGCAGGACAAAAAGCAACGGGTGGAAACTAATCAAGGAGAGAAGCAACCTAGAACAAAGGAGAAACTTCCTGACATTGAGAACAATTAACCAGTGGAACAACCTGCCTCCAGAAGCGGTGAATGCGCCAACACTGGAAGTTTTTAAGAAGAGACTGGACAGCCATTTGTCTGAAATGGTGTAGGGCTTCCTGCCTGAGCAGGGGGTTAGACTAGATGACCTCCAAGGTCCCTTCCAACTTTATTATTATGGATCATCGCACAGTCAGCCAGACTGGATTTGGCATTTTGTCTACCTATCGAGTCCTTACCCAGGACCTGGGATAGGCAGATGTGGATGTTTGATGGTATTATAGATATCGTCACAGGATGGAAGCAGTTCCTAGTAAGGCTGCCTTTTGCAATTGACTAATAGCGAATTTATCAATGCCAATGGTGTTCAAGTGGTGCTCCAGTTGTTTGGGATTGCACCCAAGGAGCCTATTGCTACTACCCTTGCTTGTTTTTGCCACAGTCCTTCTATTTCTATTTGTAGGTCTTTGTATATTGTTATCTTCTCCAGTTCTTTCTCATCTATTCTGCTGTCTCCAGGCACTGCCACGTCCACTATCCAGACTTTTTTGTATTATTATTATTATTATTATTAACCTTTTGAGAGGAGAGAATATTTGTAACTCAGAATTGGACTGTGGGGGTCCTTGGTGCCCTCTGAGTTTGCAGATGTTTTCTTGCAGATGTTTCATTTCCCAAACTGGATAACATCATCCGCTATTAGCACTTCTCCCACAACGATCTTAGAAATTAAACTGGACAAACTACACACCCCAAACTACGAAAAGCATTAAAATTGTTCTAGTTTCTGCTCCCTGAAAAGTAAAAAAAAAAAGAAAAAAACCTACACTTAACCTACACTGTCATCCTCAGTGTCTCAGATGCACAACAGACCAACGTGAACTTCAAACAATAAGCCCTGATCATTTTACTTCCTACAAGGTTTTACTATGTTTTTTTTCTCTCTCTCTCTTCTGAAAAACAAGGCTCCCGATCTTAATGGCAGTTTAATGCTAACAGGACATAAAAAATGGCTCAGAATCCAAACAGATCAAGCTGTGCAGGTCTGGAATTTATCAGCCAACTTGCATCTGGTTGTCCCCTTCATCCAGTGCCTATAAATGGGCTTGGCTTGGAGACTGTGGCTGACAACCGGGTTATCGTCAACGTAAATGCATTAGGAATTAAATATCTGTATTTCCTGCAGGCTAAAAAAAAATAAAAAAAATAAAAAGGCTTCTGCTCAGAAAAGGTGAATTTGGTGATTAGGGCAAATTTGCATTTTTGACTGGACAATTTATTCTCTTTTCTGTGCACCTGAAAATAAGTCTGTTCAGGTAGTTTTATTGATTGCGATTCGTGCCTATTCGTATTAATTATATGTTCCCTTATTCAGCTTCCACTAGTTTTGGAGGCTTTCTAAACTGTGCTCAGATGAAAACGCCTTTCACTCAGGCACAAATATAGAACTGGATCTGGTGAAACGTACACACTGCTTCTTAAAAGTTCACATCGTTTTAGCATTGTGTTAATTCCCCCATACGAATTTTAATTAGTGCAAACCTGTTTTAGCCTACATACCAGAAAAATACTGCAGTAACTGTATTCCTAAATAAAGGGTTTGTTTTTTTTTTTTTAAAAAAAAAATCAGCACTGAAAATGGGTTTTGAAATGCAAAGACTGAAATTTGAAAACACTTCCAGCTTTTTTTGCGTGCTCCAAAACCTGGAAAGAAAAACTTTTGAACTTTCTGTTCTATAAAGTGCCCTTCTTATTAATTTGTTTCATCGTGGTGTTTGCAAATTCAAAGTCCTTCTAAATGAATGATTTATGAACACAATGTGAATCAGATTTTTCCCCTGTAAGTCGTCGTAGTTGTAAATCAAATCACGTGACCTGACCCATTTCACAATCATTTTTATCGTGGTTGTGAGTCACCGCAGGTGCAGGTAGAGTCATGCGATTGTGTATACAAATCCAACTTAACTAATGCCATTCTTTTTTGCATAAAAAAACCGGCATAAAAGTTGCAAAGTGTGATCATAGGACCCCCCTCAGGATGCTACAACTGTTCATAAATGTGAGCAAGTTGCCAAGTGTCCGAATTGTGAACATGTGACCATTGGGGTGGGCCATAGTAAGCTCAAATTTAGATTGCAACTGACTTTTTGGAGGCCGTTAATTTGAACTATAGTTAAGCAACGGGTCGTAAATTGGAGATACCCATGTAGACAATCAGAAGAACATGAAAATCCACCCCAAGGAGAAAACAGCCAGACACAAACTGAGCAATGTGGTATATGCAATACAATGCAATGAGCCATGTGCAGATCTGTACATTGGGGAAATGAAACAATCCCTTCGCAAACGCCTGGCACAACATAGGAGAACAAACCCATCAGGACAAGATTCAGCAGTTCATCATCTGCATTTGAAAGACAAAGGACGCTCTTTTGAAGACAGCAAAGTCCACATTTTGGACGGGCAGGAAGGACCGCTGGTTTGAAAGAGGAGTTCCAAGAGGCCATCTAGTCAAAGCTAAACAGCCCGCTCTCAACAGAGGGGGAGAGACACGGCATCATCTACCTCCACTCTACAACACAAATCCTTCTTGCACTACTCAGGTGATCCTGAGGACACAGGTAAACCTCCAAGTGGCCTCAAGGACTCTCTAAAACAGTGGTTCTCAACCTTTTTAATGCCGCGACCCCCAACCGATCGTAAGTCGAGGACTACCTAACCGGTCATAAGTCAGGGACTACCCAACCGGTCGTAAGTCGACTTTCCCTACCCGGGAGCGCCGCGCATGCGTGCAGCCGCCCCCTGTGCCGGCCGAGGTGTAGCTGGCAAGGGGCAGCGACGGCGCAGGGCGACCACCGGCTGGGCCACCAGCTGGCCCAGCCCAAGGGAGGTAAGGCACCCGCCGGGCCCCACGTGTGCCAGCAACCCTCCCTGCGCCCGCCGGCCTCCCACCTCCCACCCCTGGCCCTCTTTTACTTACATTTTTAGTAGTTGCTCAGCAGGGAGGGGTGGAAGCTTCCAGACAGTTCGCCTTCGCTGCAGACAACTTGCAGCCCCGTTTGCAGAACGGGACTTTTGGCGGGCTCAGCAGGGCAGAGACAGCCTGGACAATTCCTATCGGCTTTTGAAAGCCAATAGAATTAGACTCTATCCAAGAGAGTCTATTCTATTGGCTTTCAAAAGCCAATAGAATAAAAGGGAGTAGCACAGCTAAGGAAAAGGGGGGAAAAATGGCGGACTGCGTTGTTTGGCGACCCCCGTGAAATGGTCGTTCGACCCCAAATGGAGTCCCGACCTACAGATTGCTCTAAAAGAAGGCAAATGACCAGCGGTCTGAAAGGAGCATAAAACTTTCCATTCCCCATCATCCAGAAGAAGCTTCTTGGATGAGAAGTGAAACACCTTCAAAGGACAAAGAAGGAAGTCCACCTGCCTCGTGAAAAAGCACTTTTGGGACAGCCATGACCTGGACTGACTGAGACTCTCCAAGGACAAGAACTGAAAACAAAGCACCGGTGAGCACCGGGGAAATAGTTGGTCACTTTCCTTCTTACCAGCTGGGGTAACTGGACTTGGACGTCACTGGCTTCCAAAGGAGATTCAATGTAACCCTCCAACAATGACGGGTTTTGCCTATATTGATGGGATCTACCAGAGAGAGGCAGGGAATTTTTCCCCATTATTCCAAGGTCTCCCAAGGGATGGCTCTCTCCATTCTGATCCTGAAAAAAATAAAGAAGGAATTTATGGACAATTTCCCCAAGGGCAGAACTTCTCCGATAAAGTTCATCTGGAGCAGCGGTTCTCAACCTGTGGGTCGGGACACCATTTGGGGTCGAACGACCATTTCACGGGGGTCGCCAAACAATGCAGTCCACCATTTCCCCCCCCCCCCTTTTCCTTAGCTGTGCTACTCCCTTTTATTTGATTGGCTTTCGAAAGCCAATAGAATAGGCTCTCTTGAATAGAGTCTAATTCTATTGGCTTTCCAAAGCCAATACGAATTGTCCAGGCTGTCTCTGCCCTGCTGAGCCCGCCAAAAGTCCCATTCTGCAAACGGTGCTGCACCAGTTGAGTAGTCCTCGACTTACGACCGGTTGAGTAGTCCTCGACATACGACCGGTTGGGGGTCACGGCATTAAAAAGGTTGAGAACCACTGATCTGGAGTAACTTCACTTCTCCTTTATATGCCTGGGTTGTGTCACTGCTGTGGGGTTTGCACTACGAATTTGTTGCGCGTGCTCAGACCCTGCAAAGGCACATCTTGTTCCTTGCTTGCCAGCAAAAAACAGGCAGACACTCAAATGGCTTGGTGTTTGCCGGTAATTGTCACATGTCGGTTGAAAGCAGAACGGAACAGAACAACAGAACTGGAAGGGACCTTGGAGATCTTCTAGTCCAACCCCCTGCTCAGGCAGAAAGCCCAATACTATTTCAGACAAATGGTTGCCCAACCTCTTCTTAAAAATTTCCAGCGTTGGAGCATTCAGAACTTTTGGAAGCAGGTTGTTCCACTGATTGATTGTCCTGTTAGGAAATTTCTCCTTAGTTCCAGGTTGATGAGTTTCCATCCATTGCATGTTGTCCTGCCTTCTGGTGCTTTGGAGAACAGATTGATCCTCTCCTTGAAGTTTGCAGCTTGGCCAATTAATCAAAGATTAGTTTTATTTAAACCTCCAACGCTGGAAGTTTTGAAGAAGAGACTGGACACTCATTTGTCTGAAATGGTATAGGGCTTCTTGCCTGAGCAGGAGGTTGGACTAGATGACCTCCAGGGTCCTTTCCAAATTCTATTCTATTCTATTCTATTCTATTCTATTCTATTCTATTCTATTCTATTCTATTCTATTCTATTCAGTTCTATTCTATTCTATTCTAACTCTACTCTACTCTACTCCATTCCACTCTATTCTATTCTACTCTAGTGTAGTCTAGTCTAGTATTATTATTCTACTCTACTCTACTCTACTCTACTCTACTCTACTCTACTCTACTCTACTCTACTCTATTCCTTATTTCTATTCTATTCTATTCTATTCTATTCTATTCTATTCTATTCTACTCTATTCTTTTAGGACTGCCTGATCCAAAATGGGGGCACTCCCCAAGGGTTTAAACTTCACTCGAAGATTCCCAGCGGCAGTCAAATGTGTTCTGAGGAATTCTGGGAATGGAATTCCATCTATCTGGAGCATATCTTTTGATTCCCTGAATCTCATTGACTGCCAGATTGGAGAATTCTGGGAATTGAAGAGATCTATCTGGAGGACATTTTTAAATTCCCAGAATACTCAGCAAAGGCCAGGCTGGAGGATTCTGGGAGTTAATGTCCACCCACTCTGAAGGCACTCAGGAATGGGAGGGTTGTATTAGAACAAGAGGAATGATGGTGTTTTCACTACCAACCTTGATTGCCGTTTACCTTTTCAGATGGGAACCTCAGGAGCTCAAGGCTGTTCATGCTGTTTGATTGGACCCACTTTGGTTTGGCTCCTGGAAAAGAAAAGGCAGCCATTGGCGAGAATTTCAAGACAAACGAAACCGCAAACCAGGAATAAAAGTAGTCGTCGACTTACAGCCAAAATTAAGCCCAACATTTTGTGGAGTGGAATGGAATGGAATGGAATGGACTAGACTAGACTGGACTGGACTGGACTAGAATAGAATAGAATGGAATGGAATGGATTGGACTAGAATAGAATAGAATAGAATAGAACAGAATAGAATAGAATAGAATAGAATAGAATGTGGAATGTAGAATAGAATAGAATAGAATAGAATAGAATAGAATAGAATAGAATAGAATAGAATAAGTCACTTTTTTCATTGCCATTATAACTTTGAACAGTCACTAAATTAATGGTTGTAAATTGAGGACTACCTATATTCTATGTTCTGTTTCTAAATCTGAAGTTCAGCTTCCAAAATGCAGGAAGTAATTTGCTGTATATGATTCTGCAGATGGTCCCACCATGCTTAAATCTGGTAATACGGCCATGTTCGGAGAAGGAGGCAGAAAGAATGAGAAGGATCAATCAAGAGGCTGGTGGTTAGTCAGGAAAATGGACATTTAAGTCCTATGAAACCTAATTAAAGGAGAGAAAACTGAGGGGGATATAATTATCCCTTCCAAACATCAAAAAGGATATCGCAAAGAAGAGGCTCCAGCTCCTGCCTCTCTTATTCCAGAATGATTGCAAATAAAAATATCGTACCTATTTTTAAAAAACCAATCATGCAAATAAACAACAAATTTCAGGATATTTTTTTTTTTACAAGGCAGATTACTGCAATGCCCTACAGGCAGAGAGAAAAGCCCATTTGACTTGGGGGTAAATAGAAACAGGCCAAATCATAAAGGCTGCCTGGGCTGGAAAAAATTTAGGAAATATTTATAGAACGTGATTGCTAGGAATTAAGCTTTATACAACATCCAGAGGCAATTATCCCTCTCTTGGTGAGGGTCTATAGAGAAACTACAATATTACGGGGTAAAACCTTAATCGGTTTCTTTGCTTCTCCTAGATCTCAACCTTTTTAATGCCGCGACCCCCAACCAGTCGTAAGCCGAGGACTACTCAACCGGTCGTAAGTCGAGGACTACTCAACGGGTGCAGCACCGTTTGCAGAATGGGACTTTTGGCGGGCTCAGCAGGGCAGAGACAGCCTGGACAATTCCTATTGGCTTTGAAAGCCAATAGAATTAGACTCTATTCAAGAGAGTCTATTCTATTGGCTTTCAAAAGCCAATAGAATAAAAGGGAGTAGCACAGCTAAGGAAAAGGGGGAAAAAATGGCGGACTGCGTTGTTTGGTGACCCCCGTGAAATGGTCGTTCGACCCCAAATGGGGTCCCGACCCACAGGTTGAGAACCACTGCCCTATACCATTTCTGACAAATGGCCGTCCAGTCTCTTCTTAAAAACTTCCAGTGTTGGAGCATTCACCACCTCTGGAGGCAAGTTGTTCCACTGGTTAATTGTTCTAACTGTCAGGAAGTTTCTCCTTAGTTCTAGGTCAGGGGTATCAAACTGCCGGCATGTGGGCAGGTTTCATCATACCGGAGCTGCGCCAACCCCATTGCCAGCAATGGCGAAAAAGGTCCGATACGTTGTGCGACGTCACGTGACGTCGCGAGTTTGACATGTCTGTTCTAAGTTGCTTCTCTCCTTGATTAGTTTCCATCCGTTGCTTCTTGTCCTGCCTTCAGGCCCCTTGGAAAATAGCTTCACTATTTCCCCAAACGTTTAGCTTAACCCCCACCACCCTCCAGCATTCCTACCGTTGGAAGAGAGAAAAAAAGAAGGGAGAGAAATGCTTTTATTATGCATCATTCATTTAAATTCTCTCGGAGTAGGAACATAGATGGGACCCTTAGAAAAGATCCGTGGCAATTCTCACTGGCTCCAAGCCACCAGCCTTTCATTCCTGACACAAAAGCTGCCCCGCTCGTCAGCTGCCTCCACTTTTCTTCTCCCACCCATTAATTCCCAATTCAGGAATGCAACTTCTCCCAAAGAGCAATAAAGACCTTATTCCCCCCCCCCCACAAAAAAAATGAGGCTGACCTTCAGCTGCCCAAAACGCAGGCGTAGGATTGACTGCATTTATGCAACGTAATAGAAAAGGATTGTGGAAATCCAAATTGCTCCCATGGTCATAAGATGGTGAACCAGACTACCACTTTAAAACCATAATGCAGGTCAACATGGTTTTGGACACAGCAAAGTGAGTATCTGCATTGTGGCTTGTTAACCCAAATCTCCTGTTGGAGCCCCTGATATAACAGTGCTGAAAGTGATCATGCGATCATTTACTTTTTTTAAAACACATAAAATGTGTTTTATTTTAAAAAGAGTTTTGCAAAGTAAAAACAATACAAATACAAACTTTATTAAATTACTTAACCACCAGAATGCTTTTTTTTTTTTGCGCATCCGTTTCCTCTCACTAGAATTTTAGAAGTGATAAGGACTTCAAAAATCATCTAAGTTTCTTAAACTTAGCAACTTTAAGATGCACGGACTTCAGTTCCAGAACTCCGCAGCCAGCGTGCGTTGCCAAGTTTAAGAAACGCTGTGGCCAAGCGTTGGAGTTAACGTCGGTTTTGAGAAACACGGAACTAGTCCAGCTCATTTATAAATTAAATTGTAATCAATTAGTCCAAGAAATCTAATGGAAAGTCTCTGCAGAGGGTAGTAAAATCAGTGACACCACCCAGGAGAGATGGCTGCTATCCTTTTTTTTTTTAAAGAGAGGGAAAGGGGGAGGGAGAGAAAGAAAAAGAAAGAAAGAAAGAAAGAAAGAAAGAAAGAAAGAAAGAAAGAAAGAAAGAAAGAGAGAGAGAGAGAAAAGATCTCAAGCTAGACAAATAGAAGCCTTTTTCACAAGGCAAATGAATTTTGCAAAAAATGGCAAGATAAATTTTTTACATACCATTGTTTGGAAATCATCTTATTTGGTCCTATAATTGCTTGCTCTAGTGATTGCCCCCCCCCTTATTAAAGCAGGTGCCAAGAGCTGGGATAATAATAATAAAAGAGAAAGAACTGGAGAAGAGAACAAAATACAAAGACCTACAAATAGAAATAGAAAGACTGTGGCAAAAGTAAGCAAGGATAGTACCAATAGTCATAGGCTCCTTGGGTGCAATCCCAAAACAACTGGAGCACCACTTGAACACCATTGGCATTGACAAATTCGCTATTAGTCAATTGCAAAAGGCGGCCTTACTAGGAACTGCTTCCATCCTGCGACGATATCTGTAATACCATCAAACATCCACATCTGCCTATCCCAGGTCCTGGGTAAGGACTCGATAGGTAGACAAAATGCCAAATCCAGTCTGAACATCTGGCTGACTGTGCGATGATCCATAATAATAATAATAAAGTTGGAAGGGACCTTGGAGGTCATCGAGTCCAACCCCCTGCTCAGACAAATGGCTGTCCAGTTTCTTCTTAAAAACTTCCAGTGTTGGAGCATTCACCGCTTCTGGAGGCAGGTTGTTCCACTGGTTAATTGTTCTAACTGTCAGGAAGTTTCTCCTTAGTTCCAGGTTGCTTCTCTCTTTGATTAGTTTCCATCCTTTGCTTCTTGTCCTGCCTTCAGGCGCTTTGGAGAATAGCTTGACTCCCTCTTCTTTGGGGCAGCCCCTGAGATATTGGAACGCTGCTATCATGTCCCCCCTTGTCCTTCTTTTCTCTAGACTGGCCATTCCCAAATCCTGCAGCCGTTCCTTATATGTTTTAGCCTCCAGTCCCCTAATCATCTTTGTTGCTCTTCTCTGCATTCTTTCTAGAGTCTCAACATCTTTTTTACATCGTAGTGACCAAAACTGGATGCCGTATTCCAAGTGTGGCCTTACCAAGGCCTTATAAAGCGGTGTTAACACTTAGTGTGATCTTGATTCCATCCCTCTGTTCATGCAGCCCAGCACTGTGTTGGCTTTTTTGGCAGCTGCAGCACACGGCTGGCTCCTATTTAAGGGATTGTCCACTAGGACTCCGAGGTCCCTCTCACGGTTATTACTATTGAGCTCTACCTTTGTTCCCCCAGATCTCCAGACTTATGAGAACTTTCCTAGGTCTGACCCCTCCAGATGTGCAAGGGAGAAACTGCATCTGAAATTGCACAACTCATCTTGTAGGGACTAGGTCCCTACAAGTCCCCCCTCCTTTCACATGGAAGGAAGAACGCCCTGTTTTCTGCACACTCTTGAACTTCTTCCCAGGCCAGAGATGCTTCTTGAAAGAAGTGAAAGATTTAAACACAGAGATGAGGCAACAGTGGCAATTATGTCGGACAGCCTCTTGGAGAAGCAAAACAACTGTAATTAAATGTGCCCTTCTGCAGGCAGGAGGGGGAGAAAAGAAGCTTGTCTTGCTGTCACAAGAAACCCACAGCTAAATTCTTTGCAGAAAACACATCTCCCAGTCAACTGCCTCCTCCGAGATTGGCACCCAGAAGGTCAGGCCGAGAGAAGAGGGCTGAAAGTGGCTGCTAGAGCAGACTGGAGTTGAGAAAACAAGAAAAACATCCTAAAATACACATTGCTCATTTGAGTTCATTCAGGCTCATTTAAGCACTGGGGTGTTGCTACTTTCTCCCCCTATGCTTGGTGAACGTTCCTTACTTTAGCTCCGGCCCAGCTAAAAAGCTTGTAAATGCGAGTAAATTAATACCGTGTTTCACCAAAAATAAGACCAGGTCTTATTTAATTATTTTTGCCTCCAAAAGAGGCACCAGGTCTTATTTTCGGGCTAGGCCTTACCTCACCTCTGGCACTGGCAGCACCACCTAGCCGGTCCACTTCTTCTGGGGCCGAAGTTCTGCAGCTGCATTGGGGCCTGGATTTTGCAGTCAGGCCTTTCCAGAAGGCCTAAGCAGCTGAATTCTCAAGCTTCCTCCTTCCGTTATATATTCAAGATGGACAGTATTTAATATTTATTTGCTACGAATATGTAGGGATGTGGGTCTATACATATGTTGTTCATAGTATGTTTAAGTGTGTGTCATGTATGTGTTTCACTTTGAGAGCGGGCAACTAAATTTCATTTTTGATGTGTGCCGTTTGATGTGTGCCCACAGTAAAAAAATGACAATAAAGATTATCTTATTTTATCTTACCTTACCTTACCTTATCTTATCTGAGCACCAAGCTATGGATTCAATCCATAGCTGGGTGCTCGGCTGCTGAGAACTTGCAGAACCAAGGTACGGATTGAATCCATAGCTCGGTTCTTGGCCCGTGACAGAGAAATGCAGACCTGCCTAGAGAAGAGGCCTCAAAAGAAGGTGGGCTGGTGAGGTGAGGCCTGGCTGCCAGGTGTGCAGGGCAGGTGGAGCAGCTTCACACCCCCATACCTGCCCTATCTTGATTTTTAGGCATGCGCCTCAACCCAAAATGAGGACTTATTTTTGGGATAGCGCTTATACTAGGCCCACCCCCCCAAAATCAAGCTAGGGCTTATTGTTGGTGTAAGCCAGGGGTAGGCAATCTTGGCTCTTTTATGACGCGTGGACTTCAACTCCCAGAATTCTTGAACCAGCCATGCTGAGGGGAAAGGGAGAGGTTTCCAAGCTGAGCCGTGCTGGCTCAGGAATTCTGGAAGTTGAAATCCACAAGTCATAAAAGAGCCAAGGTTGCCTATCCCTGACCCAGTGCCATTTATGTGTACACTCCTCAAGGACAGACTAAGATGAAGCAGCAGCACTGCAGAGTTGCTAAAGAAAGGTGAAGTCCTCAGCCTAGATGGGAGGATAGCCATCCGGAGTATTTATTTATAGCTTAATATTACATTTAACCATTTTATTATTCAGATTGACCTAGTCACCCGTCTCATGGACAAGTCCCGGAGGCTTACAAGCAATTAAAACAATAGAAAAAACAACAAAGAACAATTGAGACTTGAGGGGAAAATATAATATGAAAGGATATAAAATCAAAGGTACAAGTACAGATTGGGTGAGACCTGGCTCAAAAACAGTAACTGTGAGAGGGACCTTGGAGTCCTAATGATGATCACTTGAGTATGAGCCAGCGGTATGCAACAGCAGCCCAAAAAACTAATACAATCCTGGGTTTACAAACAGAGGCATAAAATCAAGATCACATCAAGTATTAGTACCCCTTTATAAAACCCTGATAATGCCATACCTGGAACACTGCAGCCAATTTTGGTCACCATAGTACAAAAAAATATGTTGAGACTCTGGAAAAAGTTCAGAGAAGAGCAACTAAGATGATCACAGGCCTGGAAACTAAAATATACGAAGAACGGCGGCAGGATTAGAGGTTGGTAAAGAAAAGAAGAAATAGGGGAGACCTGATAGCAGAATTTCAGTATTTGAGGGGCTGCCACAAAGAAGAGGGGGTCAAATTATACTCCAAAGCACCAGAGGGAAAGACAAGAAACAATAGTTGGAAACTGACCAAAGAGAGAAGCAACCTGGAATTAAGGAGAAACTTCCTAACAGCGAGGAGAATTAACCAGTGGAACAGCTTGCCACCAGAATTTGTGGGTGCTTCATCACTGGAGGTTTTTAAGAAGAGACTAGACAGTAACTTGTCTGAGATGGTCTAGGGTCTCCACCCCCACAATAGCAATCCTGTGGGGCTGAGAAGAGACAGACTGGCCCAAAGTCACTCAGCTGGCTTTCATAGCTAAGACAGGACTAGCACTCACGATGTCCTGCTTTCTAGCCTCATGCTTTAACCATTAGACCAAACTGGCTCTCATTTCTTACCCAAACCAAGGGGATAGACTGGATGGCCTCCAAGCACCCTTTCAACCTGCCTAGGATTTGCTGCTACAAATCTGTTGGGCAGTCAAACAGCAGTGCCAACCTTATTCCAATTACAGGAAAGAAACACTCTTGTGGCTGAACCACAAGGTTTTTAGACAGGAGAAAGGGGCTCCACTACCCCCCCAAGTTTTGCTAGCTTTTGGCTAACAGCATTTTATAAATGATGCAGAATGCACCTTTTTTTTTTTTTTGCAACGTTCACTTGTCGAGAGAAAGGGGAGGGCAAAAAGCTACTTACATTAAATTTCCTTTCCCACCAAGAGCTGAACAGCAGGAGAAGCAGTGATGGTTGATGTGGTTTTAGTCAAAAGCAAAAGAAAAAAAAAAAGCAGGTAGAGAAGAAGGAAAGGCATTCAGGGTCCGAAGGAGCGTGCTCTCCGCGCCACACCATTTGCTGGCTTCGGTCACCTTGGAGGTGTGCAAACAAGCCAGATAAAGCCTTATTGTAGAACCGGTTCAGAGCCAGCCCTCGGCAGACAGTTGGGCCCCTTGGAGACGGGGGGCCTTGGGTGGCAACACAGATAAAGAGGCTCCATTTCAGAGTCCTGCCGGTGGGTGGGCCACGGGCCAAGCACTTGGTTGACCCTCTTCGGACTCTTTGCGTAAGAAAGACAAACGACTTTGTGACTTGTGGTTTTGATGATTAGAAAGAATAAAGAAGGGTGTTACGATTCTATTCTATTCTATTCTATTCCTTAATTCTATTCTATTCTATTCATAATAATAATGATGATGATGATGTTGGAAGGGACCTTGGAGGTCATCTAGTCCAACCCCCTGCTCAGGCAGGAAACCCTATCCCGTTTCGGACAAATGGTATAGGGTTCTATTCTATTCTATTCTATTCTATTCTATTCTATTCTATTCTATTCTATTCTATTCTATTCCTATTCTCTATTCTATTCTATTCTATTCTATTCTATTCTATTCTATTCTATTCTATTCTATTCTACTCTAACTCTACTCTAACTTACTCTATTCTATTCTATTCTATTCTAATTCTTATTCTAACTCTATTCTAACTCTATTCTAACTCTACTCTATTCTAACTCTACTCTAACTTACTCTATTCTATTCTATTCTATTCTATTCTATTCTATTCTATTCTAATTCTAACTATTCTAACTCTATTCTAACTCTATTCTAACTCTACTCAATTTTAACTCTATTTTAACTCTACTCTAACTCTACTCTAACTCTACTCCACTCCACTCCACTCCACTCCACTCTCTATTCCATTCCATTCCATTCCATTCCAAAGAGGCCAATAGTCTACCGGAGGACAGAATAAACTGCTTTCTACATGGCGCTGAACAGCCAGTCCACCAATAAGCAGTCCTCACCTGCTTTCCTTGCCCAGTTTTGCTCTTTACCGGACGGAGAAAAAGGCAGAGAACAAATTGGAAGGACAAAACGAAAAGATCCTGGAGAAACACACTTACCTTGGATTTCATATCCGGCACGAACCGAGGCACTGGCCCCATCGCCGCTCTGCTCCAAGCCCAACGCGGATCGCAGTTGTTCAATGTTTGTGCATGCTGTCATCTCGCCAGCTGGGTCCCCGATCTGCAAAGGAGCCACTACCATGATTATTTGATAAAAATGGATGCCTCCTTTTACCGTAGCTTGCAAAAGTGAATTTCCAAAGCCCAAAGCTCTTTGCCCAGCCCCAAAAGAGCCTTGTGAACCAACCTATCCCTTTTATTTTCTAAGAATGCCCACGACATACTTGCGGGGCGTTTAATTTTGATAAATTAAAACAGCCGAATGTAAGGTTGGAAGATATCTTGAGTAACGTTTTACCCAGAGTTGCTCAACTCTGGCTACTTCTAAGATGTGTGGACTTGAACTACCAGGGGGATTCTGGGAGTTGAACCAAAACTTGAGAAACTCTCCTTTTCCCCAATCCTCTGATCTGAGCAGAAATCCATCAGGATATCCTCCCTCAGTTGAGACTCTTCAACTGTCGAGAATCCAGCTTCTGCAGAAACAGTCTGTTCTGCTCTTAGTGGTAGCACATTTTAAAATGATTGAAGGGAATCTATTTTTAAAACAAAGTCAAGGAGGGCAGAATTTGTGCAGAACAGTTCTATGCGTAAGAGGTGACTGAAGAGGTGACTATAAAACTGAGCTTCCAACAATTAGTGAACCAGCTAACAAATCCATAAGATGTCATATAAGGGTGTCAACAGGCTTTCCAAATGAGGAAAGATCAAGCAAAGGAGGGCGCAACATAAAACACACCTGCTCCAAAAAAAAAGTTTAATAGAAAAGAGCAACAGAGTTGTAAGCGATCTTGGAGATCTTCTAGAAAGAATAGAATAGAATAGAATAGAATAGAATAGAATAGAATAGAATAGAATAGAATAGAATAGAATAGAATGCAAAGGAATAGAATAGAATATAGAATAGAATAGAATAGAATAGAATGCAAAGGAATAGAATAGAATATAGAATAGAATAGAATAGAATAGAATAGAATAGAATAGAATAGAATAGAATAGAATGCAAAGGAATAGAATAGAATATAGAATAGAATAGAATAGAATAGAATAGAATAGAATAGAATAGAATAGAATAGAATAGAATGCAAAGGAATAGAATAGAATATAGAATAGAATAGAATAGAATAGAATGCAAAGGAATAGAATAGAATATAGAATAGAATAGAATAGAATAGAATAGAATAGAATAGAATAGAATAGAATAGAATAGAATAGAATAGAATAGAATAGAAAGCGTAGGGATTTACACAAAATCACAAAGGCGTAGGGATTTACACAAAATTTGTACCAGATTCCTGGCAATTTTCAGGGAAAAAATCAGCAACAGAACTGGGCATGGCAGTGCAGGAGGCAACATGGAACATGAAAAAGCATCCCCGGGAACAACTAGGATCCAAGTGGGGCATAGCTGAATCTCCCACAATAGGTCAACCCACCCCCTATTTGAAATGGGGATAAAATCTTACAAGCGGATTTGTCTCTTGTTTAGGATCACTCATGCTGGTTCAGGGAGCCAGGATTCGGCTCACTTGACACTTTGTACAATCCTGCGCAGAGCAGAGGAATCTTTTTCCAGGAATCTTGATGCAGAAGAAACGTCTTCCACCTCCATACTTCCCCCCGAATGGGAGACAACCTGTCGGTCCCATCTCTTCATAGTCCATAATTAGGGGGACCCTCTTGCTTATAGTGCCAACCGCCCCAGGAACGTCCATTGTTCCCTTCCCATCTGGAGTTGAGTAATCAGCCCGCCACAAAGTGCAAAGCCCAAATTGCACCCGGCAAATAATATTTATCTGGAGCAGCTGACAGTTTAATTCTAGGGGCGAGAGAAGCAGGCGGCAATGCCTTATCCTAAGAGTCTGGTCCTCAAACCTCAAGGTCGACTTCCCTGCTTCTGCTCGACTGATTTAGTTTTCTTTTCGGAGTTATTTATAACGTTTCTGACTTGCTGCTTGTTGATATCCTGTCAGACCCTCAACTTCTATGCGGCTTTTTCTTTTTTTACTTTCGGGAATGGGCCATGGGCCATCTCCGCACCGAGGGGAGGAGACCGAGAGGAAATCGAAACCCTGAGAAAGGTGCCTGGGAATTGCACTTATCAACTTATCAAATTCCTGGGTGTGCAGCTAATGAGTAGGCTGACTTGGTCGTGCACCAGAAAGAGAGAGAGAGGGAAAGAGGGAAAGAGAGAGAGGAAGGGAGAGAGAGAAAGAAAGAGAGAGAGAGAGAACAAGAAAGGGAGAGAGAAAGAGAGAGAGAAAGGGAGAGAGAAAGAAAGAGAAAGAGAGAGAGCAAGAAAGGGAGAGCGAGAAAGAAAGAGAGAGAGAAAGAGAGAGAGACAGACAGACAGACATTACCTCTTGGGAGATTTCAAGGTGTTTTTCTGCAAAGTGTAAGGCTTGCTCATAGTTCCCAAGTGAAACGTAAGCGTTCTCCAAACTCCAACACGCTCTTCCTTCTCCTACTCTGCAAGATCAGAGTATGATTGTTAGGAAAACCACAAAGGATATTAACCCAGTTTCCAAAAGTTAATCTTGATCACAGAGCCCCCAGTCAATATTTGCTTGGACAGCTGAGAGAATCCAATTCACGCTTTGCAGTACACGCCTGGTTTGGGTTTAGGATTTCACGGAGAGTAAACAGATTGCGTGTGCTTAACTCAACATAGCCAAGGTGAACTATGGATTGATGTGACAGTGGGCTACAGTTATTCTGGCTGCATAGAGATCTATGAACATTCCTCAGGGCATGCCATGCACCGTTCATACTTTACAGCCGCATTTCTAAACCTTGACAGCTTTGCAACTGAAGCTGTGTGGACTTCAACTCCCAGAATTTCCCAGCCAACATGCTAAGTCTAGAACACAGTTCCCCAACCTTTCCAGCTTTGTGGACTGGCGGGGGGGGGGGGGGAGGAGATGGTTCTGCGTGAATGGCAGGCAAGCACACACAGGTGTGTGCAGCTCCATTCGCATGAGTGGTGGGCACGCACACCTGCCGTTCACAAATGGAGCCTGTGTGCACATTCTTGCCTGCTGCTCATGCAAACGAGGACGTGCACGTACTTCTGGAGCCCGGTCCCGAATGGCTCATGGACCAGTAGTGGGTTGTGGGCCTGGGGGTTGGGGATCCCTGGTCTACAATACATCATGGCAAGCTGACAGCCTGAATTGTCAAGTTCCTCTTATATCAGCAGTTCTCAACCTGTGGGTCGGGACCCCATTTGAGGTCAAACGACCATTTCACGGGGGTCGCCAAACAACGCAATCCGCCATTTTTTCCCCCCTTTTCCTTAGCTGTGCTACTCCCTTTTATTCTATTGCCTTTTGAAAGCCAATAGAATAGACTCTCTTGAATAGAGTCTAATTCTATTCGCTTTCAAAAACCAATAGGAATTGTCCAGGCTGTCTCTGCCCTGCTGAGCCCGCCAAAAGTCCCATTCTGCAAACGGTGCTGCGCCAGTTGAGTAGTCCTCGACTTACGACCGGTTGAGTAGTCCTCGACTTACGACCGGTTGGGGGTCGCGGCATTAAAAAGGTTGAGAACCACTGTCTTATCTAGATCTAAATCTAGATATCTAGATAGAATACATCTTTTTCTGTGCATACTTCTGTCATCTTACTTGTGCAGGACTTTTACTGTACAGTTAGTCCTCAACTTGCGACAGGTTGCTTAGTGACCGTTCAAAGTCATGACAGGCCCTGAAAAAAGGACTTATGGAGGCATTTATGCCCATTTGCAGCAACTGCAAGGTCCTGCCTCAGCTAGCTTCTTGGGAAAGCATCACTCCTGGAACGAGCGTGATTTCAAAGACACCCCCCCGTATCGCCATCCCCGTGCCCCCAATCCATCCAGGTCTGACACCCAAAACAAAAACCCAGGAAGATGAATCCTTTTTTGGGGGGGAGGGGGGAAATCCAGTGGATAATAAATGCAGCAAATACATAGAATGTGTTCTGCCATGACATTTCTGCAACAGGTGGCACGGCCCTTGAATTTAGATCTGGGAAATTTACCAGGAAAAGGAAAATGGGGGGCAGTGCCATCTTGTGGTAAAACAGGAAAATAAAGAACAGGGACGACTAAACTGGCAGCGTGATCTGCTGAGAACAGTTTTTCAAAAAAGGCTGCTTGATTTCAGGGAATAAGTTTGGGAAAAGATCAACGTTGCATCCGATGCTTCAGATTTCATCTTGATTGGAACCATCCAGTTTCATTTAATGACCATCCAAAGCTGGGAAGACTAAGGACATAACTGACTAGATCAGGGGGTAGGCCACCTTGGCTCTTTTATGACTCGTGGACTTCAACTCCCAGAATTCCTGAGCCAGCTTGGGGGAACTATGGCCCCCTCATGACTTGTGGACTTCAACTCCCAGAATTCCTGAGCCAGCGTGGGGGAACTATGGCCCTTCATGATTCGTGGACTTCAACTCCCAGAATTCCTGAGGCAGCTTGGGGGAACTATGGCCCCCTCATGACTTGTGGACTTCAACTCCCAGAATTCCTGAGCCAGCATGAGGGAAACTTTGGCCCCTTCATGACTTGTGGACTTCAACTCCCAGAATTCCTGAGCCAGCATGAGGGAAACTTTGGCCCCTTCATGACTTGTGGACTTCAACTCCCAGAATTCCTGAGCCAGCATGAGGGAAACTTTGGCCCCTTCATGAATTGGCTGGCTCGGGAATTCTGGGAGTTGAAGTCCACGAGTCATAAAAGAGCCAAGGTTGCCTACCCCTGGACTAGGTACTTGATATGGCGAAACCTGGCTCAAAAACTTGGAGTCCTAGAGGACGATCACTTAAACACGAGCCAGCCGTGTGCAGCAGCAGCCAAAAAAGCTAATACAATCCTGGGTTGTATAAACAGAGGCACAGAATCAAAATCACGCGAAGTATTACTGCCGCTTTATAAAGCCTTAGCAAGGACACATCTCGAATAAGGCATTCAGTTTTGCTCACCACATTACAAAAAAAGATGTTGAGGCTTTGGAAAAAGTGCAGAGAAGAGCAACTAAGATGATCCAAGGCCTGGAGACTAAAACATACGAAGGACGGCTGCAGGAATTGGGTATGGCCAGTCTAGAGAAAAGAAGGACTGGGGGGGGGGACATGATAGCAGTCTTCCAGTATCTGAGGGGCTGCCACAAAGAAGAGGAGGGCCGACGTATTTTCCAAACCACCAGAAGACAAGAAACAATGGTTGGAAACTGACTGAAGAGAGAAGCAACCTGGAATTAAGGATAAACTTCCTGACAGTGAGGACAATTAACCAGTGGAGTGGCTTGGCTTCAGACGTTGTGGGTGCTCCATCATGGGAGGTTTTGGAAAAGAGCCTGGAGACACCTCTGTCTGAAATGGCATAGGGTCTTATGCTTGAGCCAGGGGTTGGACTAGAAGACCTCCAAGGTCCCTTCTAACTCTATTCTGATTGAATTGAATGATTGAAGGACTAAAGCAACTGAAGCCAGTCCTTCCATTCCCTCAGCAATCCCAGGAAATGGGGGAGGCTGTGAGGGAAAGAGCCAGAAGTAAATGCATGGAATCCCCCCAGGACCTCATCCTGCTGGGATCCAAGGTCTGAAAATCCTCGTTTGCCAGGTATCTCAGCTTCTCCTCTGGGACTGAACTGAGAGAATGTTTGGCATACTGGACAAGTGGCCGGCTCTTCTCCCAAAGCAAAAAAATCTACCACAGGATCTCAACCTCAACAACTAACCCAACTCAACCCAACCCAACTTAATTCATGCCAAGCTAACTTAAGCCAAGCCAAGCCTAACCTAGCTTCTATCCTTGGGAGTCACCATCTGTTACCTTCCATTCATTTCAGCACCAGCATAAGCTAGACCAGTGGTGGCGAACCTGTGGCACGCGTGCCAGAGGCGGCACTCAGAACCCTCTCTGTGGGCACGCACTCCATGCCCCAGAGATGGCAACTGTCCCTCTTCAACCAGCCACCCGCTAACTCGCTGAGGTCCCACGTGGCCGGATGCATCCCAACATGGCTGGTTTCCTTCCCCACTGTCCCATCCCTCCTGGCCTCACATGCTCTCTTTTTCCTGGGCACAACCCACAGCATCGCCTCTTCAGCTGTCGGCTGGCCGTCCAGCTCAGAGGCGGCTTCTCTGAACTGCTGGCGGTGGGCTGCGGAGCCCCAGAGTGCACCGGTTGAGGGGCAGACTGTGGCTGCTGATGGACACTGTCGGGCCCCATGCGCTCACTGGGCTCTGTGTGCGGGGGCCGATGGTGTCAGGCAGAAGCCACTCCGGCCCTTGCCTCGCCTTGCCCTGCGACAATGCCACCTCTGCCCTGCCTCACCCCCTGGATCTCCCCCAACCCTGCCCGGCCCCCACAGGCGTCCCTCCCCACGAGCAACATAGAAGTGACCATACCCACCTTGGCCACACCCACCCAGTCTGCCATGACCACCACAGCTATGCCCACCTGGCGATAAATAAATGGGTTTTGGGTTGCAGATTGGGCACTCGGTCTCTAAAAGGTTCGCCATCATTGAGCTAGACCATTCCTCCCAGTTCGCCGTAAACTGAACTAGCTTCCTGAACCGCGTGTTTGTCATTCTAACAAAAGAGGCCTCAACATCAACACCAGCTCCAAAAAAAAAAAAAAAAAAACTAACCCACAGAAAACAGATCTTTCTTACTGGTCTCCAAGTTCCTGGGCAATGGCCAGATGCTTTAAGTGGTACTCCACAGCCTTCTCATAGTCTTCCAGTAGGGTGTATGTGTTTCCAAGGCTGTAGCAGGTCTGGGCTTCCACTGTTTGGTCCTTCAACTGCCTGGAGAGGTGGAGGGTTTTCCTAAATTAGGAGACAGAGAAAAGGTGTTTTTTGGATCCCATCTTCAAATGAAAAGACTTGTCATTCACTTATCCACTGCATTAACAGAGGGATAGAATCAAGATCACGTGAATTATTAATACCACTTTACAAGGCCTTGGTCAGGCCACACTTGGAATACAACATGCAGTTTTGGTCACCACGGTGTAAAAAAGATGCAGAGACTCTAGAAAGAGTGCAGAGAAGAGCAACAAAGATGATTAGGGGACTGCAGGCTAAAGCATATAAGGAACGGTTGCTGGAATTGGGTATGTCTAGTTAAACAAAGAGAAGGACGAGGGGGGACAGGATAGCAGCCTTCCAGTATCTCAGGGGCTGCCCCAAAGAAGAGGGAGTCAAGCTATCCTAACCTATCCTAATCCTAATCCTGCAAAGGTATATATTTGAACAACCTATTTTCTGATGATGAATAAAGTCACCAAAGAAAGATTTAGATAGATAGATAGATAGATAGATAGATAGATAGATAGATAGATAGAGAGATGAACTAGATCAGTGGTTCTCAACCTTTTTAATGCCGCGACCCCCCAACTGGTCGTAAGTCGAGGACGACTCAACCGGTCGTAAGTCGAGGACGACTCAACTGGTACAGCACCGTTTGCAGAATGGGGCTTTTGGCGGGCTCAGCAGGGCAGAGACAGCCTGGACAATTCCTATTGGCTTTGGAAAGCCAATCGAATTAGACTCTATTCAAGAGAGTCTATTCTATTGGCTTTCAAAAGCCAATAGAATGAAAGGGAGTAGCACAGCTAAGGAAAAGGGGGGGGGGGAAATGGCGGACTGCATTGTTTGGCGACCCCCCTGAAATGGTCGTTCGACCCCAAATGGGGTTCCGACCCACAGGTTGAGAACCACTGGTCTATCGGAACCATGACAGACTGTTGAATAACTGTTTAGTAACTGTTCAAAGTTACAATGGCACTAAAAGTGGCTTATGAGCATTTTTCACACTTAGGACCATTGCCGCATTCCCATGATCAAAATTCAGACACCTGCCAACTCATACTTGCGACGGTCACAGCATCCCGGAATCATGTAAATCGCAGCGTTGACATCGCCTTTTGCCACCTTCTGACAATCAAAGTCAATGGGGAAGCCAGGTTGACTTAACAATCGTGTTATTAGTAGGCTCGTATTGGAAGAAGGACTCGTTGCCCACTTTAGAAGAATGGATATTTAAAGTTTCTAACTTTGCAGAAATGGCAAAAGTTTCTGCTTATTTGAAGGATCATACACAAGAAAGATATATTATCGTGCGGAAAAGATGGATAGATTATATTCAGAAAAAATATGGGACTATAAAGTTTCATTTATTTTATGAGTAAATTTTATAGTAACTGTTGTAGAGATTTGTTTACAAATCTCTACAACAGTTACTATAAAATTGACTCATAAAATAAATGAAACTTTATAGTCCCATATTTTTTCTGAATATAATCTATCCATCTTCTCCATACGATAATATATCTTTCTTGTGTATGATCCTTCAAATAAGCAGAAATTTAAGGGGAGTTAAAGGTTAAGTATGATGTTTTTTTTCCTTTTTCTTTTTTCTTTTTTCTTTCTTCTTTTCTTTTTTTTATTATTGTTAACTTTCTTATTAATAACCCTGTACTCTGCTCTGGGAAGCGAGGGGGGGAGGGTTGAGGGTGGGTGGGTGGGTGGGTAATGATAATATAGCCATGGTAAATGCTTGGGCATTTCCCCTATGCTGCGTTCATGTGTGTGAGAGGGATGAGAAGGGAGGAAGGAATAGGGAGCAAGTAGGATGGTTAGAGAAGGGGAGGGGAAGAGAGTAGGAGGGGAGGAGAGAAAGAGGAGGGAAGTGGGGAAGGATAAGAGAGGGTGGACGCAGCCTGGGGGGAATGGGCAGGTGGTACCAATGGTTAGGAATTTATTTTAATTGAATTGTATTTTGTATGAATAAATGGAAAAAAATTGAAAAAAAAATCGTGTTATTAACTTAACAACTGAAGGGATTCACCAATTGTGGCAAGCCAGGTCATAAAATGGGGCAAAACTCACTTAACAAATGTCTCACTTAACAAAAACTGGGGGCTCGGTTGTGTTCGTAAAGATTACCTGTGTGACCCACGTGATTGGGCTGTCCTAAATCTCCCTCCCTTCCTTTATCTTGGAAAAACAGATGAATAGAGAGAACACCAAAGACTTCAACCTTGAGCTAGGAAGATTCTCTTTCTATTGGAGGCTCCCATGTTTATTTCTGCCATTCAGACAATAGCTGAATAACTGGGACACGGGACCCCTTTGCTGATCTATGAATCCAAGCAGTTCAGATCTGGAGGGTGTTGGCTTCTCCTGAGAGGCCCACCGCTTACTTGTAATACTCTGCGGCTATGTCAAAGGTTCCCAGGAAGATGTGAGCGTTGGCCAGGTTGCTGTACGCTCTCCTCTCGGCAGCTTTGTCCCCGAATTCCTTAGCGATGTTCAGTCTCTGAAATGGATAAAGTCACGGGTGTCACTGCAGGGATGTCACCTCTTCATTGGGGCACCCTCGTCCCAGTCTCCCCCAGCTGACGTACACTTGGCAACCAAAGAACCAAGGAGTTCCCAAAAGCACGTGGCACACTGGTTGAGCCGGGGGGGCGCAGTGGTTAGAATGCAGCACTGCAGGCTACTTCGCCTGGCTGCCGGCTGCCCGCAGTTCGGCAGTTCGATCCTGACTGGCTCAAGGTTGACTCAGCCTTCCATCCTTCCGAGGTCGGTAAAATGAGGACCCAGATTGTTGGGGGGGGGGGGGCAAGAGGCTGACTCTGTAAACCACTTAGAGAGGGCTGTAAAGCCGTGTGAATAAAACCAAGGGCTATTGTCATTGCTGTCTGTCTGTCTGTCTCGTATCTATCTATCTATCTATCTATCTATCTATCTATCTATCTATCTATCTATCTCTATCTACATCACTCTCTCATCTATTTATCTATCTGTATATCCATCTACATCACTCTATCTACCTCCCTCCATTTATCTCTCTCTCTCATCTATCTCTATCTATCTACATCACTCTACCTCCCTCCCTCCATCTCTATTTACCTACCTCTCATCTATCAATCTATCTATCTATCTATCTATCTATCTATCTATCTATCTATCTATCTATCTATCTATCTATCTATCTATCTATCTTCTATCTCTATCTACATCACTTTCTCATCTATTTATCTATCTATATCTATCTACATCACTCTATCTACCTCCCTCCATTTATCTCTATCTATCTATCTGTCTATCTATCTGTCTATCTATCTATCTATCTATCTATCTATCTATCTATCTATCTATCTCTATCTACATCACTCTCTCATCTATTTATCTATCTATATCCATCTACATCACTCTATCTACCTCCCTCCATTTATCTCTCTCTCTCTCATCTATCTCTATCTACATCACTCTCTCATCTATCTATATCTTACATCACTCTACCTCCCTCCCTCCATCTCTATTTACCTACCTCTCATCTATCTATCTATCTATCTATCTATCTATCTATCTATCTATCTATCTATCTATCTATCATCTATCTCTATCTACCTCACTCTCTCATCTATTTATCTATATATATATCTACATCACTCTATCTACCTCCCTCCATTTATATCTATCTATCTATCTATCTATCTATCTATCTATCTATCTATCTATCTATCTATCTATCTATCTATCTATCTATCTACCTACCTACCTACCTACCTATCTATCTATCTATCTATCTATCTATCTATCTATCTATCTATCTATCTATCTATCTATCTATCTATGAGCTGTGGTAGCACAGTGATTAGAATGCAGTACTGCAGGCTATCTCTGTTGGCTGCCGGCTGCTGGCAGTTCGATCCTCACCGGCTGAAGGTTGACTCCACTTTCCATCCTTCCAAAGTTGGTAAAATGTGGACCCAGATTGTTGGGGGGCAAGAGGCTGACTCTGTAAACCGCTTAGAGAAGGCTGTAAAGCACTGTGAAGTGGTATATAAATCTAGGTGCTATTGCTATTGCTACTGCTATTGTTGCTTTGTTCAAAATTCAAGCCCAAACACCCCCCTCCCCTGATTTTATTTACACATAGTCAGAATTGGGACTGGAATTTAAACCATTAGTCATTGCAGCCATCAGCAGAATTGGACCCAATTAATAGTTAATAAATTATGGGTAAGGTTTGTATATAGTGTTGTAATACATCTTTGAAGTGTGGCCCCCAACCTATCTCTATAAGGCTCTGCATGGCCCTGGTTCCCGTCCCCCCCCCCCAAATGGTGATGGGTCAGAAAGGAGACAAGTCAGAATCCAATTATATTTCATTTCTAGCTACCGACTCTGAAAAAAGATCCATTTCTTACTCTTTGTGGATTCTGTCATACTATGAAAGGGGAGGAGGGAGCAAAGGGGTTTTATGACTCTCACTTCCTTCATTTAAACTACAAAGGACTGGAGGTGATTCTCATCAAGAGGACTGACCATAACAATAGGGCCATCACCTTTCATCTACTACTCTCTGAAGTCTCCCTTCTGCCGGCCGTGAGGAAAAGGGGGTGGAAATGTAATGCCTGGGATCGTCGCTGGAAGGACGGTGGGGTGGGGGCTGCTTGGGACCACTTAAAACCTTGAATGGTAGGGCTTGGCCCCTCAGATCCTGTCTAGAACGCCTGCAACCATCTTCTCTTAATAAAGATGCCTGTTGGAAGAGATATCCCAAGAGTTCTGTCTTCTTAAGATGTAAAGTGGGGTGGGTCCTTACATACACACAAGCACACACACACATGAGTGTTTCACCTGCTTATGGAAGACGATGGCTTTGCTGAAGTTGCCCAGCAGGTAGTGGGCATTGCCCAGGTTCCCGTAAGCCCTGCCCTGCGCAGCTCTGTCGGCCAACTCCTTCACGAGGGAGAGGTTCCTCCTACGAGTAAGCCAGACAGAAGCAGCCCTTAATCCTTGAGAAAAGAGCCAGCATTTCAAATAGGAACGCTGTGCACTCCTGAAAAAGCAGGAACACCACCCTTCCATTTCTTCACTTCTCCCTTCTCCCTTTTCTTGTGAACTCAGGCTTTTGCCTGGATCCTGCCCTCCAGAGGCACATTTAGGAAGTGAAAAGGCGCTGTGAGATTTCCTGGTGGTCTCCTCTCCCGACCCTGATTGATAACTTTCCAAGACCGCACGGCTAATGGGGTTGGAAACGTTTTGAGGGGTAGAAAGGCCGGGGGAAGGATTCGTTTTCCCAACTTCTCAAAGTGAGGCGAAAGGTAGAGAAACAAGTCAAATACAATCTAACCACCTGAAGTGGTTGAGAAGGGGAGGCAGAGATGCCAACTGCTTGGTGCCCAAGAATACCAAGGAGAAGACAACAGTTATATTTATTGGTGGCTGGAAACCTTTTGTGGACCTTCGGCTGAAAATGGAAAGAAATGAACCTGTGATTTGTGGGCTTGATGATTAGGTAAAATATGGAAAGGATAGATGATAGATAGA